GAACATCAGAATGCCCCTATTTGTTCTAATGAAAATTATAATAAAAGTTCTTCGCTCTTTCGGAAGTTGAACAGCACTTCTGTTAGTTAACTATAACATAAACATAGATTAGACATAGATACATAGAATTAAACATAGATTTTGCTCATTTGAGCTTTGTAAATTTCGCAAATCTTTCAGGAAGTAAGGGTATTTTATGATCTATTCTAAATCCTTACAAAGACTGTCACATTTTAAGAGCAGAAAACATGAAAAAAAAACTAGTCATATCAGGATTTAAACAAAGGATCTTCCAGATGCCTACTGGCTGTGATGCAACATATACGTCAAGTATATACATATACGTCAACATATACGTCCGTGTATGGTAATTCTTTGCCCTCTTAAGGTTCGTAATTATAAAAACATTTATTGTAATTCTGTAAGACCTTCTCCTCAAGCCTTAAGTAAAAAGTAAGGTTCCGTCTTTGACGCTGACTTTAAATGAAATATTTTACACATTTCTAGAGTCAAAAGACCTTCTCTCTTTCAAGAACATTCTTTGATTTATTGTTTTTTTGGGGGGAGGCGTTAGAAGGAATTATTTTTTGAAATGCAATTCTTTTGTTATTTTCCTTTAAAAATACACTGAAAATTCACTTGAATTCAAGAGCAAACGTTACGATTTCGGCAGTTACAGTCATTTATTGCTTCAAACGTGTTGATCCATAGATCTCCACATCTCATTTGCTCATTAATCATGAATGAGAAACATCTTTTGCTTTGTCTGTGGACTTTTCATTAAATAATTCTTAATCATAAAATGACCAAATTGGCAAAATGTATTTTATGGTTTATCTCGGAAGCGATCTGAGAAGGATGAAACTATAAAAATTAGCGCGCTCTTCATTTATGAATAATATTGTTACAAATTTTGCACATAGATAGATGACTTTAGTGCAATTATATGTGAAATTGTTGTATTTTTATGTAATGTAATGCGAAAACTGAGAATCTATGCGTGAAAAGTAAGGATCCAGAGGCAAGTTTATTTAACATTGAGTAAATGATTATCCCGGTAATTTGGCTAGATGTCCCCACGCTGACAACGTTTTGTCGCCAAATTTGGCAAAAAATCGCCATAAAGCTCCAAACCTGGTGACCAATTTGCAACATTTTGGTCCGGTCTTTGTATCACCGTAATTTTCTTTGCAACGTAGATATGTACAGATGCATCAGGTAAGGCTTATGTTTGCTCTGCATATCTACGTTACAAAAAAATTCTTGGCAATTTAGTTACTGCTAAATTAAGAGTTGCACCAATAAATCTTCCAACTATTCCCCGATTGGAGTTGTTAGGAGCTTTGCTTTGCTGCTCTTTTACCCAAACTATAAAGGCTGCATTGAACGTTTTCCTTGAAACCTTCTTTTGGACAGATTCTATGGTGGTACTAGCTTGGATTTTGAATAAAGCGTCCTGGAACACTTTTGTTTGAAACAGAGTAAAAGAAATCAGAGAGCTAACAGAAAGTTGCAGATATATTTCAAGAGAGCTGAATCCTGCCGACCTCCCTTGATCATGTACTTGGAAGGAGCTTATGAAAGAAAACAAATGGTGGGAAAGACCCTTGTAACGATATCCAACTACAAGAAAATTCTTGAAAGATTTGACCCAATTTCTAAGATCGGAGTTAATATACACAAAATTACACACCTGAAGAAAAGCGGTATTATAATTTCTTGTGAGAATAAAGAAGATATTTACAAAATTTACACAGCCCTTGGAAGCAACGACAATCTGAACCAAATTATCAACCTTAAAATTCCAACTAAAAGTATCCTTAAAAATGCTCCGCCAAAATAACCTAAAAAGAGATACAAGATCAGAACTAGTGGAAATAACCTCAAAAAACATTCAAATCGATAATACCGAAATCAAGCCTTACTAAATGATTTAAGAAATAGCGCTATTAAATGGATAGGTGAATGGATACAAATGCATACAATAAACTTATGAACCAAGGTATATTCCCCATGAATGGCGAAATCATAATAATGAAGAATTTTTTGGGATCAGACGCTGCTACTCTTGCCAAGATTTTGGGCACTCAGCAAAAGATTGTAAGTACAGAAGTTATTGCGCATATTGCGGAGGCAATATCAATATCAAACAATGAAAATCTATCAACCCAATGTGTATAAACTGCAAACTACAAAATAATGTAAATAACATTGGAATTAAAACATATCATCCTTCTTATTCCACAAATCGTCCTGTCTATCAGAGTGAGCAGCAAAAAGTCAAAGACAGAATGACTTTTGAAGACTCAAATGAATTATGAACTCAGATTCAGAAGAGTCCAATTTTATGTCAAAATAAATGTATTATAACATCACTATATATAAATCTAATATATATCCTAAGTCTCCTAAGTCGCGCTTTGGAACATGAAAAACGCAAGTTAAATTCGTCAATGGGACCAGCAGAATGGGAGATTAGAAGTGTCCCCTTTTTTTGTGTGTATGTATGTGGGTGTGCAAAGTCTACAGTAGCACTGCAAGTGAGGAAAAATGTTAAAAAATAATAAGGAAAAATAAAATAAAACGTGCATTTTGCGAAAAGCGATCAACTTACCAAATGAAACTCGAAATATTACTTAGAAAGCTTCATTTCAAAATGCCTCGTTTAGAGAGCCGTAAAAATTCTAATACAGATGCAAATTTTCTCCATTTAGGTTTAAAATGTTCCGTGTTTTCTCAGATTTGACTAATCGAATTTATATGAAAATTTAAGCCTTCCAGCAAGAGTGAAATTAGGGAAAATAGTTGAAAAGTTCTGTAGAGAATTTATAGCAAGATAAGATGACTTCAAATACGTTTGCTTTTGTAATAAAAGAACTGCATCTAGTAAGTACAAAAAATTGAGATAAAATTAATATACAAAAAATTAAGATAAAGTTTTACCTATTTTGAAGCACATGAGTTATGAATGTCTCAAGAGCAAAATTTAAACTTCGAAGAAATTATTTCGAAGATGGTATCAGAATATTCCCCATTACATGTGAGCTTTAATGGAGTTCAGAACAGAGAAAGAGAAGGAGAAAATGCCGTCTAGACGAATAAATGAGATTATAGTAAAATTTCTGATGGATTTGCTGAAGGTACCCAACTTTATTGAGCAAAATGCAAGCTGGAAAAGGACAGAAATACCTTAAAAAATACCTCGCATTAAATTGAAAGCAAAATTTTATGGGTAGTAGTTTTCGCCCTAGAAAATAAAGATGCTTACTTTATTTAGATTTATCAAACTAACATTTTTTAATATGAAAACAAGTTGCAGTAATATTAATACAATTAGTGAGTTTTGCCTACCTAAAATCTGCCAAAGCAAAAATAGTAAAAAAAAAAATATTCCAAAGAAAAAAAAAGATGTCTGAAAGCTTTTAAATTTTATATTACACCCAAACGGGCGTTTTTTTAACGTTTTGTATCATGTTCTTCGTAATAAACCCATGAAATGTTATTGAACAGCAATATCACAAAATATTTAAAAAGAGCATATCTTTAGAACTTTCGATACACAGTCTCACGCGTAGCAGATAAAAAAAAATTTTACCGTACAGTATTGTCATTGCTCGCTTTGAAATCCTCGAGGTTGTTAATCGAAAATTCGTTAAAGTTTTAAAAAATATGATATTGATAATAAAACAAAAATCCAAATTTGGACTTCCAAATGCCCATATTCGAGTGGAGGAGTACGTTATTCAAAATTTGTTGTCTCTACGTACATTTTTTTTTCCAGTATGCGAGAAACATTCATGCAGATTCTTCATTATTTCATTTCTTTAAATATTATATAATGAAAGGCTATTAAATTTTTTGGCAACAATTTTCAAAGTGAAATGCCATTTAACAGTGGACAATGCAATATGCCAAAACGACATTAATAGTAGAATGAGTTCATTTGTCACATAAATTAATTAACTTTTATCGAATGATTTAGCAATGCTTATATATTCTAGAATGTGTATAAGGTATTTCTCCCGCCTTCTGAGCATGTCTTCGTAGTGCAGTGGTCTGCACGCTGGGCGCGTATTTCTGAGGTCCGTTGTTCGATTCCCGGTGAGAGTGTTGCTCATTTTTCATCACTCTTGCTTTTAAAATAACCTAATGTCTCTACAGTGGTGGCCCAACTAAAAGGGAGGTGGATGATGATTCTCCTCACCAGAAATTAGCGATTGGGTCCCCTATCGCTGAATTGGCGATTGGGGAGGAATACATAAGGTATTTCTCCCGCCTTCTTAGCATGCCTTCGTAGAGTTGTGGTGAGCACGTTCGACGCGTATTCGAGAGGTCCATGTTTTGATTCCGGGCGAGAGCATTGCTCGTTTTTCAATTCTGCTGCTTTCAAAAAATACCTAATGTCTCGACGTGCATATGATTTAATTATTTAAGTAGCACTGTGGATAAGAACACCCAAATAATATGACATCATCTGTTATTACCACTGTTAACCCAAATATCTTATATACCTTTTTTTTATTTTCTATTTACAATTGCATTTTACTCTGACTCTTTGCGAAAATAATTTTCAAATTCTTTCGCAATAAACAAATTTAACTTCCTTTTTAGATGGGACCCACTAATTTGCAAACCAGGTTAATCCACCTTGGGTAATCATTAACTGAATGTGTATGAAACTTTTGGGGATGATAATGCCACTTTGAATTATTTCGTATTAAAAATATGGAGGAAATTTCTTTTTTAAGGAATGTATTGTTAAGTACTGATATCTAAATCAGTGATAACACATAACCTATTGACTTCCTTAATATATGAATTATAAAAACCTTTATACAGCAAACAAATTAATGTCCTTCCTATTGTTCGATTCTGTTAAATTTCATCACATTTACACTGGAAATTACCAAACAACAGCGTTTTGTTTGAAAGAGATAGCTATTTAAGTTTTACACAAGAATTCAGTTTACACGGGGGGGGGGTGAAAAGTAAAATCTTACACTTATATCCTCTTAACTTCGGTAAGTTACCATCATCCGGAACACAGGTGACTGGTAATTCAAAGTTTACCATAAGAAAAGAAACACAAAGCATAGATTTTAAAGTACTGATATAACTATACCATAGTGTTACGAATTTGGTATTTAAAAAGCTAATGTTAGTTCAATTATAAATTAAATGGTTTTATTTCTCGCGCAGTGCAGCGCGTGACGAATATTAAAAGAAAGCTAAGCCGGAAAATTGAAAATACAAGAGCGCGTGCATTAAATAAATAAATATCTCTTTTTGATTTCGAGAAAGTACTGGAAAATTCTAGCGCGTGATTTTAAAATCTTATAAAAGGAGGAAAACATCTCAGTTTGTAGTTGTTGCTTAGTTTGCTGTTGTTTAGAAAACTGCCTTGTTGATTGTAGCGAATTCGCGGATTAGCGTTCTTTAGCTGTTTTGAATTACGTTCTATTGTACATTTGAGTAGTTAAAAGATTACTACTGTGAGCTATTGTAATACTGCATGATAATTTGAGAAAATTTAAGCATTTTTGTTGTGATAATAATAAATTGTTGTTCATTTTTCATCGGACTTGTGCATTCATTTCATAACGAACCCGTACGCACGCAACAATATAAAATAGTGATATCTATGGGAATAAATAATGTAATAGAGAAGCAGCGCATCTGTAACACGCTGTCACAAAACATACAGCTACTGACTGGGTTTCGAGACGTAAAGGATACAGGAAGAACAGCTGATATGTACTCTTTTAAAATATTTATATTATCTGATAAAACAAATTTTCAGTATGCAAAATACCAAAGTCTAATTTTTTTTTAACATTTATAAATCTTCTTTCGGTACCTCAATATGTAATACTGGGGTTCTGTGTGATATATCAGACTTTTGTGATTGGCTGTATAATACGCTTATTATTCTCAAGGAGAAGAAACTTCATTAACTCGAAAAACTGAGTAAAACAGCAACACACTCCATCGGAACGAGTATTTCTTATACATGTTTCTGATTATGCAATCCAAAGAAAGAGTTGTTACTAAAAGAAGCATTATCTAAGGAAACGCATTGTACTTATGCCAAGAAAATGACAACTGCTTGTCAGATTCGTTCCTCTCCACTGACCTGTCAATGTCAGATCATACTTATGCATTCTGCCGACTTTGGCGATTAAATATAATTGCCATCCCTTTGCGTATTGAGTTCTTTAATAATTCTCAGGAACACGTAGCGGAGAGAAAGTATTCAATGCAATATTCGCCGTCATAACAGTGAACATAGCACGGAATTTTGTAACAGTGGTTAATTTATATGCAAAGGACAAAGAAAGTAACTTTAGGGAAACAGTTTTAATTTTTGCGAGGAGAGATACTCTAAAGTAAAGGAATAAATATTATATAGATTTAATACGTATTTACACCATTAAGTCCTTGCTTTTTCAAATTTCATGTGTTTTTATCAATTCTTTAAGTTGTTCGGATGTATTTCACATGTAAACCTAAATATAACATCGTTCGAAATCCTGTTTAATATTCTGTTATCCATATTTATTTAAATACTTGCATAAATTAGGAAATGCTTACTTTTGCTGCATTGCATATTTAATTTTATTTTCGTACGAGCTTTGAAACATTCATTTAGAGTGCTATGATTCTGGGGCATAAAATGCTCACGTTGTATTCGTCAAATAATGCTTCAGTTCGTTCAAATAATTTAAAAATTCCCTAACAAGAAATAAAAGTGGAAATCGCTCATAAATGTAAGCAATGGCATGCGAGTCCAAAATGCAAGAAATTTTCAGATAGCGGCTTGCGTGTGATTCAGCTATCTGTTAACACTGAAATACTTATTTTAAATTATTCTGTCAATTTTACTTAAGCAAAAATTCATATGCATAACACAAATATCCATATGCAGTTTCATTTCAGACAGCTATAAAACATATGAACGAAGGTTGCGTTATTTTGTCCACAGTCAGGTTTTCATTTAACTCAAGCATGGATATCATAGACAGAAGAGATGAAAAATTTCCACAGCAGGTCTATTATGTCTTTAAATTGCATGTGCAATTTGCCAGTATGAGAAACTAAACGGAGAGGCAGCTATTCTTAAACAATGTTTCTTCTGATAAATTTAAACTACGATTTAAACTCCGAAATATAGTACTGACAAATAAAAATTATTAGACTTTATTTTAATGTCAAACGATAATCTTTTAAATACATAATATTGAGAAGAATTAATTTTTAAACTTATTTCACTATACAGATATAATGTTTTAAATAAGATGATGTCCTAGGAAATATAATGTTATGCATATTTGCGATTATGCTACATCTTTTTACCATCATACGATTTATTCTGTTTCATTTGCTTTCATGATTGTGAGATTTATCGTAAATATTATATTCTGGTGGCAAAACCGTTATATTTTTCAACACAGAGTAAATTTTGTCTCGCTTCATTTCAGCCGATCGCTTGATTGGATATTTAAGATTTTAGACAGAAAGGCCTCAATGAGTTTCGTTAATTAATTACTTCTCAGAAAAATCACTCTTATTCCCAAGACTTGGGTGTATCGAATGTTTTGGAAGTCTGATATTAAGCATCTATCAGTCAAAAGTCCCAAAAGGAAATCCTGTTATTTTACGGTTTTCAATGTTCCCAGATAATTTTCAACGTAAATTAAATCACTCGTTTAAAATTAGGCAAGAAAAGTTTAAATAAGCGTAGATTTTGAATAATACTTTATTGATTTTCAGAGCGATTAAGCATCAATCTTTCTTTCTCAGAAGTAAAAACTGTTTTTCCATTTAGCTGCTGTTGAATCTTATCAAGATGCTTCTACGTTTTCATTTGCGCTACGTGTTCTACTGCGTCTCAGGTCAACGTTTTCAGACAATTCAAGCCAACAAAAATGACACGACAGCAAATCTAAACAGATACCAAAAGATGCATTTTAATCAGGCTTCCAGAAATGTCAAGAGCACTGAAGTAACTGAGTGGGCTTTCTATGAATGTTATTTTGAAGGTAACTAGGTAACAATTTATTTAGCACCGAAGGTACTGTTAGCTACGAAATTCTCTTTTTGTTAGCATCACTATTGTGAGCTATGAATGTAGCTTGCGTATTTATTCAAGATAAACTCTTCTATTGTTATAAATTGTTTGTATAAAATGTCCTAAAGTTATAAATTTCTATTTTAACACAACACACATTTTGCTTCTTATCCATTATTAAAGAATATTGGGGCTAATAATTAAGACAATTAAGTATGACGAACACCAATTTATTTTAGAATTAACACACAAAAAAATAATAAAAGGAGAGAGTTTCTTAGCTACATAAAAAAGAAAAAAAGCTCGCGCGAAGCATTCCTACTCTAAAGTTCGTTGTGTTACTTGACCTGTGAAAAAGGAATGTTTATGTTACGGCCAAAGTCCGAAGTTCGGCCAGTTCCCGAATTGGCCGGCGCGTGTGGTCAATGTGCGATGTACTGGAAATGAATAGCGTATATGCGACTTTGGCCGACCACTTCCCGAAGTGCCCGGAACTCCCTGGCCAATGTTCGATGTGCTGAAGCAAGACTGTTTGGTAGGGGGCGCAGCTGTCGACTCCGGTGGAATGACGCTGATGCTAAAAAATTCAGATGCAAAAAATGCTCTCTTTCGAAGAATGACTCATGCCATCTGTTACACTGTTCAACATAACGATAAAAATAAACAAATGCCATAATTGAAAGATTAAAAAAATTTCCCCAAGAACTTACATACTCAATTTCTTCAACTGAATTAAAATTTAATTTGGTTAATCAAAATTCATAAATATGAAACACGTATAAAATAAAATCCTTAAATTTACATAAATCTATTTTGTTTTGTTTTAATACTAATAACTCACTAATGCTAGTTACTTATAATATGAATATTATGCAGCTTAATGCTTAACTATAAAGAATACTGAAATAAAATAACTTCACTATTCCTGAAGCATTTTTATATGAAATAATTCTTTACTAAACTATAATAATATTGTGAATAAATCAGAATTATCTGATTTTAAAGAAAAAGTAGAAAGTAACAGCATTAGGTACACATATGCATTTAGATTTCACACTATTTCTTAAAAATATCTGGATGTGTTACATTATACGGGGGTTGTAAATTAAGTAGTGGTAACTTAAGCTTGAAGCTCGCAGAAGGGCGGGCATGCGCAAATAGGATATGGGAGCAATGAGGTGACGCTGTTGTCGATGTGTAGTGTGCAAAAAAACAGTAGATCTGCTTAGAAGGATAGTTGTTGTGTGACGTTAAAGTGAGGAGTTTTTTCATTTTCATCGCTCTAAGCATGATTTCATAAGGTGATCAGCGGTCGTGGCTTAAAATCGAGGTTGCCAGTGACAAAAATGCAACAGAATGCTATCGAGGATTAGTGGAAGCCTGTGGCACAAATGCTTTGCCGTAAAGGATAGTAGCACGATGGGTTCAAGCATTTCGTTCGGGTCGGAATGAGACTGCGGATTTGCAACGCACAGGTCGGCCCTCCATTCCTCAAGAGCAGATTGACATCCTGAGCGGTCTCCTTACCATAGACCGCCGACAGACTGTCCGAGAATTATCCTTAGAGATTGGTTTGAGTCATCAAACGGTGTGGCGCATAATGAAAAAATCTCTCAATATGAGGAAAATTGCTTCCCGCTGAGTTCCGCATCGACTAATCGAAGTACAGAAATGGCACCGGTATGCACTGGCTGGCACCCACTTGGAGAGATACCGCAATGAAGGCATACGGCTGGGACGGTGTGATTCTTACACATGCTGTACCTGAAGAACAAACTGTCAACGCAGATTACTATTGCCGATTTCTACAGCACCACCTGCGTCCGCCTATGCGGCGCAAACGTACGCGTTTATTGCACAACAATCTCCCTATCGTATTGCATGACAATGCTCGTTGCCATGTCGCAAACAATGTCACTCTCCTTTTGCGACAGTGACAGTGGGAAATCCTGGAACATCCCTCTTACTCACCCGACATGAGTCCTTGTGACTTCGATCTGTTTCCGAAGTTGAAGGAACCCCCTCTGAGGTCACCGATTTCATGACGTTTCATCT